ACTTCTTTTAGAGCTTCAAGAAGTTTGGACTTGATTTTTTGTTCCAAATCTTCGAGTTTTTTCTTGACTCCATTTTCCTTATCATGAAGCAATTCATAGAGTTTGAGAGCATTTTGCACATTCTCTCTGTCTTTGGTAGTGAATGAAATATCTGTCTGTATAGTTGTAGGTTTCTTTGCTTTGACAGCCTTGTTCATTTCAGTATTGATTGTTTTGCTTATTAAAACTCCAAAATCTTCAAATACTTGATTAATGACACGAATGAACATTTGCGACTCTATGCCATAGGTAAACGTAATACATCGATCCAAAGCATTTTCACACTCCACAAATAAAGCATTGAGAGCCTCATCGACACATTCTACAAAATTGTCACTCATTGATAAGTGTGGTCTAACTTGTTTCATGAGATATTCCTTTTCGAGATTTCTCAAATAGGAAGACTGAGTTACGGCGAAGGGTTCAAATAGCAACTTTTGAATGGATGGGTATTTTGAAAGATCTTCTAGCTGCTTGGCAAAGAGCTTGGTCGATTTGTACTGGATCATTACCAATTGTTGTAAATCTTCTGTTTTCACAAGAGAGCAATTCTTGTGATTGAAACAATATTCGACAAGCTTAATTTTTGCCTGATTTCTAAGCTCGTCCTGAGAAGTAAATCCCTGAAATAATTTTCGATAAACATTGTCCTCTTGCTTGAGCATGTATAGTATTTGATTGAAAAATTGTTGTTGTTTGGTTTGCTGCTGAATGATTTCCTTATAGTTTTTGTCATAATACAATTCAAAAATTGTAAAAATTCCATTAATGTTATCAATTCGAAGTGTCAAATAAATTAGCTCTCTGCAAACTTCAATATTTCTCTTTTCAGAGGTTTCCATCATTTCAGCCACAAATTTTCCTCCAATGAGAGATTTGATGAGTTTTTCCTTATATTGTAACAACTTGGGTTTTGATTTTGTTTTCACTTTTTCGCTGTATGGTTCCAATGTTCGTACTCCTTCTTCGACACAACAAATTTGATTCGTCATTTCTCTCAAGGTTTCCATTGAAATATCTTGCATGTTTGATGACTCTCCCGAAAAGACATTCAAGTTCGGACTTTGAGCTGTTACTATTGGAGATTTAGCTCCAGAGCCAGATGACGAAGATACATTGTTTGGAGAGAGGAAATAGTTGATCCAGAATGAGTGGGATGAAGTGAAACGTTGGAAGCACGATCTCGGAATAATAAATCCAATTGCTGCATGGATTTTGTCAGCGATTTAGATTGTTCCAAAGTTAACAAGATAGAAGAGAGAGCCATCTTGAGTTGTACCAATTGTTTCAATGTTTCAAAATGTTTGTTTCCTTCATAACATTCCGAATCAATGTTTTCAATCTTCTTATAAAGACTCGTTACAGCAACAAATAAATTAATGGTTTGATCCTGCATCTTTTCAATTTCAAACAAGGCATTAGGAATTTTCTGAATAGATGTCTTTACTTCTTGTTCCATATATGATCCCAAATCCGAGAATAATACTTGTAATTTCAACATGATTTGATTCACCTGATAACTCATATCCGTCGTCATGGATGGTACATTGAGAGAGGTTAGAGGCGGTGTTGAAGGACGAGTGTTTCCTCCCGAAATCACTTGATCCGAACTCGTGTTTCCCAACAATGATGAGGATGACAACATTTCATTAATCCAATTCGTCGGATCAAAGTCATCAGCGAGAAACTTTGAAATGTCCATTTTTTTATTTCGAATATTTGTTGTTGTTGAAAGTACATTTATGATTCGCAACAGGTGTGTATATTCGTGATGGGATCATGAGGTGTGGTGAGGCTTACGTTTCATGTGTGTGAATGCGATGAGTGAGGATCATGAGGTGTGGTGAGAAATCACATACAATGAATCACTTCTTGAGAAGGTAAGGTCCAAAAAAAACATCGATGATTCAATTGGTGATGAATTGATCAATCCAATTTCACAACTTTTTATAATAGTGATCGATTTGATTCTTCTCTTTACGTTCCTCGAGTCGTTGAATCATTTCCTTAATTCGTGTTCGATACATTTCCATGAGTTCAAATCGTTGATTCAAAACTATTCCTTTTGTGGAAATGGGTTCCCCTATCACAACAAACGCCTGATTGCCAGAATAAATCCTCCAATCGTCGTAGGGCCAAATATCATCAATTCCATAGTGAATGACTGGTACAATACTCGCTTGAGTTTCAATGGCTAACATGAAGAGACCCATTTTGTAAGGTAATAATTCTCGACTGTCAGAGGTTTGTCTGGCACCTTCAGGATAAATATAAGTTTGAAAGAGACCTCGTTTCATGGTCTTTCTCATATGATCTAAAACATTCCAGGATTGATTGGGAAGTTGACGAATAATGACTTCACTTCCCACACCATAACTAATCCATCCAAAGAATGGAAAAAGTGCCATTTCAATATTCATAATGGTGACAGAGTTTTGTGTTTTGTAAGCTAATTCCACAATACCATCCGCCAAACTGCGTTGATTTCCAATGGCGAAAATATAGGGCCCATTCTGTTTAATGAGCTGCTCTTCTTTTAGGGTCAAAGACTTGGAAACCTTTACATTTGGATTTTCATTATTGATTAATTTGTAATATTCGAACGCATTGAGTTGTTGCAAATTCCTAGCTATTTCACTCTCATAAAGAACTGTCAGCTTGTTAAAAAGTGCCCAGAAAAATAATTTACAAAAGAATACAATAATTGGATGAATAAGGTACAAGTGTGAAAGAATGATATAATCCTTGAAGAGTTGTTCTTTTTCAGAGAGAGAATAAGAAGAGGAAATTGGCATTATGGAAGGATGATTTGAGGTCATTATGAATTGAGCCACAAGTTGATCCTTCAAACGCAACAATGGAAACAATACTTGCTTGACTACAGCAATTCCTAAATTCCTAATAATTCTCGATGAAAATGTAATAATTAAACAAGGAGTAGCTCCTGTAACAATTAACATCCACTTGGAAAAGTGAAATAAATTCAGTAATAATTCTCTCGAACTTTTTTGCTGCTTTTTTGGTGATGATGATGACAGTGAAACTTTGATTTCTTTAGATGATTCATTTGGATTGTTATTTTGAAAGTCTTCATAATGGTTCTTTTTGTGATCATCATTCCCGAAAATCCATTTCGGAATGTTTAAATGTCTTTTCAATAATTTCAATCTTCTTTCAATGGTTGATGAATGGGATGATTTTCCTTTACACGGATGCATTTCAATCATCATCCTATCGGTTGTTTTTTTCATTCTTCTAGTTGAAGATGGAGAGTAGTGTTGTTGTTGTTGTTGATAATGCATTAATGATGCTGATGATGATGGCATCTCTTCTTCGATGTACGGAAACATTTTTTAGTCCGGAAAATTCCAAAATATAACGGATTGACCTTATTGTTTTTCTGTGTGTGGGAAAGAGGAACAAGAGTACTTCCAATAAATTCTTTCATTATATATGTTTATTTAGTTTGTTCAACTGTATTTAAAAGACTTCCAAGCAGCATGTAATAAGGTTCAAATGAAAAGTTTCGCCTGCTCTGTTTTCTCGTCCATCAAAGCGGAACATTGTTGCAACAGTTCTTTATACGAAGCCAATTTATCAGTAAACTCAAGAACCTGGCTTTTCAACTGATCTAATTCTTAACCTTTACCTCGACCTGGCTTTTCAACTGGTGGTGAAAAGTCGATGATTTTGTCCAAACTATGTCTTTGTTTGCTATATCTTCTTTAACAAGACCACACATGTCACTTAGTAATACTGTGGGTGGATGTTTCAACATATCATCCTCATCATGGTGCGGCAGGAAAAATTATAAGCACGACATGACATTAAGTCAAGCACCTTCTTTAAAGAATTGGACTGGTCGTGACCCTGTATTGGGTTTTGAGGGTGATATTGATTATTTTGATGTTCTTCTGTTTAAATATCAAAGCCGTTCCCACAACTTCAAAAAATTATTCTTTGTACCATCTCCAGAAGTTGTTCAGGTTAATGATTCAGTTATTACCTTTCACTATCCAGGGTTAGTAAAGAAGCCATTCTCAGAAACAAAATGCTGTCCTAAGCTACTTGAGTTATGCGCCAGAGAATATCTTTCATGGATATGGCTAATTATGTGCCAGCACAGGGAAGGCCCTTCCTCCATATTCCATGAACTCTGAAAGCAAAGAATGGAGTCCTTGTAAGACCCATCTATACACCGTTTCCAACCAACATTCCATAGTTTCTAATCACATGTTACCGAACAGTGACGAATTATCTAGAGAGAGAATTCAAAGTAAAATTGATTTTGGAACAAACAGTTCTTGGTGGAGGAAACTCCAATTCAAATCGAAGGTCACAAAACGAAGAGGAATTTTTCATGGATTTACAACAACGATTGAATAAGCAATATGGAGGAATGCCCGCAAATTTAATGGACAATCCTTAGGAGGTTGCAAACGCCATCAATATGTTAGAACATTGAACTATAGAGGCAGAAATCACAATATTGACCTTTGTAAATTTTTCAGAAGAAAGAAAGACCTCATTCCAAACTTCAATGAAAAGCAGTGGCTTTTGGCAAACTTGAAATCCGAGGCTCCAAACGAAAAAACAATGAAATACTTGTCAAAAGTAATCCAAGAGGAAATATTCAACATTGTGGATGAAAAAATTATAGACCTATCACTATGATGGGCTCTGGATTGAAACTGGTGCCTAAAATCATAACGAAGAGGCTAACTGACGTCCTTTCTTGAAGGAGTGTCCAAGGCTCAATTTGGTGGCTGCCACAATAGAGGGACTTTTCACCGGATTCTATCAATTTACAATATGATTGGATGGGCGGAAAAAAAGGAAAATCCTGTTTTATGGCATTGCAGTTGACATTTAGAAAACTTATGACATGCTTCCCAGAACAATGTTAAGGGTTGGAATGGAATTTATTGGAATTGACGAAGACTCAATTGACCGAATACTATCATTCTTGGGAACTACTCTGGAGAAATTTGTGGTACTATCAGGTGATTTGGACACTCTTTTATGTGAAACAAAAGATGGAACGTCCGTACATTCACCTACCGCGATTTTTTTTGGGCAATTTCCATTTACATTGAAGCAGATGTGTTACCTTGAAATGTACACTATTCACGCAGGACGACGGACTCAAATGAATGTACTCTCCCCATTGGTTTTTAAAATATCACTAGAACCATTAGTGCAATATCTGGAACTATGTGAAGGAGCAAGTATCGCTGGTTGTTGGCACATTAGTACAGGAGCTTGGTTTGATGATTTGAATTCCTTTTCTAACAAGTTGGCAAATATCGAAGGAATGTTAAATGACATTGAGCTGTTCTTAAGAGGATACTATATGGAATTGGACCACTCAAAAACAGGTTTCTACAGTAACCGCCAATGCTCTATCAGAATATAAAATGGAACTCTAATTAACAGTGACATAGATATACAACACTAATACTCAAAATTTTAATCAACAATGCAAACATTGTGGGTACAGATGATTAGGACAAGCGTCTGCGTTCAACAGTGAAGTCTAAGCGCTCCACACAGTCATCAGACTCACATACAAGAAAATACACTCCAAAACATTTACCTCCAAAGAACAGGAAATTCAACCTCATTTACCCTAGTTTGGGCATTGGGTTTGGGTTTAAGAAAGGGTGTAAAAACCTCTTTAATGGAAAGAATAATCAATTTACCATCTAGAAATGGAAAATATTTTTTTATTACACCTCTCATGAATTCCTATCAAAATGGCTTTAGAATCCACCTTGAAACCGAACCATATTTATCCAATGAAGATGTTATTGATTCAACTTTTCTTAAAGATGTTATGAATTAATTGAAAAAAGAAATTGTATCTCTAAAAAAAGAAAAGGAGAAGGAGAAAGATAAAGAATTAGATGAATTAAGGAACGAAATTGAATCTCTAAAAAAAAGAGAAAGAATTGGAGGTGTTGAAGATAGAAAAGGAGAAAGATAAAGAATTAGGAGAATTAAAGAAGGAAAAGGAATTGGAGGTATTGAAGATGGAATTATTAAAGAAAGATAAAGAAAAGGAATTGGAGGTATTGAAGAAGGAATTTAATGATTTTAAAAAAGATATAGAGATTACTAATTTGAAAAAAGAATATGAAGAGTTGACAAAACTTCTCAATTATCGTAAAAAAATATCATCTAACTATGAGGCCTTGGGACTAAATAAAATTCATGTCGGTTTTTCAAAAGCTATTGAGCGAAGAATCTGCTTGTTTCGAAGACTTAAACAACAAGATCGTTTGGTTAATGTAAAGGAACAAATGGGTTTGTGGCCTCTCCAAACACCCGACCTTGATAAAGGTCCGGTGTTTGTGGGATTTTCTGCATATTTTGTCAATTGACTTTATTCGCAGAGTCCCGAGCATTAATTAAGATTTGAGAAGGTAAAAAAAACTCCAAAAACCGCTCAGCAGAAAAAAAGGAGAAAACCAAAGTAACGCAAGGAAGCAGGAAGGATGAAGGAAGAAACGAAGATTCTATGATGTGAAGCGTAAGAAGTCACATTTAAGCAATTGCTTGATAAATCCATGAAAAACATGATAACATAATGAATTAAATACATGAAATTAAAATAATATGGTTAGCTCAGTAAAAAATCATTGCCGAAAATATTCTAATCAAGGTGGACCTGCACTGTCACAACGTTCTTCCTGACCACTG